AAAAATTAAATTTAATATGTATATGTATATATAGATAGATAAGTCATAAAATATCATATAAGAGTATCTATAATATTATAAATTTATACATTGTATAATCAAAATTTGGATGGTTGATAATAATGTGAAACTGATTATTAAGGGAAAAAAGAAAGTAAAAAATAGAATTTTTTTTTTTTCCAAAGTGAAACAATATATTAATTCGTTGACCAGTTTATAATAATATAAATAATATTTTACCATATATATTTATTTTTTAATACATAAAAAAAAAATTTACATATTTTGGTTCGTCATAATACTTGAATATTATTTTATTAAAAAATTTATTGTCGTATAATGTCATTATTATTTATAACACTTATAGAAATAATATTCTTTTTTATATAATCATAAATATTTAATTTATTAATATTATTTATTGACGTAATTAGTTTAAAAATATATCAGCAACTTTAATGTTTGTTAGAATTGTGATTATATGTAAGTAAAAATAACATGGATTATATCTAACAAAATTTGCTTATGATATTTTTATTTAAATATTTGAATGAATATGAAATTCAAGATCTACGTCTAAAACCAAACATTAAAGCTCTACCAAACACAAGGATAATACCTGAAAACCAAACATTATTATACTAAAATAAAAATGTTGGTTAAAGCTCTACTTGATAATCACCTCAATCACGCCTAGGGCTGTAAACGAGACGAGCCAAGCTCGAGCTTAAGGTGTTTGAGCTCGAGCTCGAGCTCTTAACGAGCCGAGCCGAGCCGAGCTGAGCTCGGCTCGTTAAGTAAACGAGCCAAAAATCGAGTTCGAGCTCGGCTCGTTAAGGCCTCGAGCTCGAGCCTTAACGAGCCGATCTCGAGCTTTAACGAGTCGAACTATAAAAAATTACATAAATTTTACTTTTCGAGCCTTATCGAGCCGAGCCGAGCTCAGCTCGTTAACCAAACGAGCTTTAAATGAGCTCGAACTCGAGCTCGACTCGTTAAAGCTTTGAACTTGAGCCGAACCGAGCCTTAACGAGCCGAGTTCGTTTAATTTCATAGCACTCATGCCCCAACCTTGCTCTTCTTCTTCTTGGGTATCTCTAGCTCGAGCACCCCAACTTCCCTCATTACATTGTTGATTTTACATCAAATAATTTATTGGACTCTCGACAGAGAATTATTGCCCACGAGTAGAAAATTAATCAATAAAGCAAATGTATAAATACGAACTTGATGTCGCATTTCTTGCGGCCAGTTCCTATTAAGGCCTGTGCCGCGAACCCACCGAGAAGATGGACTTCACCAGCTTCTTAATGTCCACCGCCTCGATGACGTTCGGTCGGCGACCTCGGCGGTGGAGGAGGCGACGATTAGGGGTCAGGAATTTGGGGGCGGCAGATTTCAGAGAGGGATTTCACTGGAGTGGAAGAGATGGGATGAATTGGTTTGGGTGAGATTTGGGAAGATAAGGAGAGACAATAAAAGATGAGGACGATATATAATGTTTTTCCCCAAAAAATTTCAAAATACATTTAGGTAGATTTTTTAAGTTTGAAATTTAAATGTAACAAATCTCATGAATCATGGAAGCATTAAATGTTGTTTAATTTTTTATTAAAAAAATTTAAAAAAACATACTAAAAATAGAATGCAATTAATAATTTCAGATTTTTTACTTACTATTTTTAAAAAATAGTAATTTTATTTTATATATATATATACACATATATAGATTTACATTAAACACTTAAGAAAATATCATACTTCGAATTTTTACACATAAAAGTAGTGATATTATTAAAGCCAAATGGAGTCGAATACGTCATGTTCGAACTTGTACTCGTTTAATAAATAATAAATGTGCATGTTTGGCTCGGAATCATTTAATAAATCGGGTGTAAGCTATTAAGCTCCGCTTGTTGGAATTAAAATTGAATTTTATATTCTATTGTATTAATGAGTCGAGATAGACTTTATACGAGCTAAACTGAGTTGTACTCTCTAACAACTCGATTCTAGCAGCCCAAGGAAGAAAATATTTCTGACTATACCCCTAGCCGGGCCCCTTTAAATTGTCAAGAAAATTACCAAAAATTCCTTCTCTTTTCTTTCCGGTGCCTTTTGTTTTTCTTCTGAATTCTTACATGTCATGGTGCAGACACATCCTTAGCTCTCGGAGAAAGAAAAATGCAACTATGTGGCATTATCGTTTTTTGGAAACTGTCGATCGACGCTTGTATCCATATATGCATCTCAAAACGAACGTTTGCCTCTAAGAGTCATATTACAAGTCTTTTTTTTCGAGCAAATGCAGTTCAGAAGGGCTATAGCCCGATTTTCTGCCTGCCGAAAATTCCCCTAGCCAAATGGCTGATCAAAAAGTTCCACGAGACAACTCTTCAACGTTTGACCATGAGAACGAAGTTCTAAAAGCGAACATGGCAAGAATGAGGTCCAAAGTGGGATGATAAGAAGAAGAGTTTATTAAAACAAATGAAATGATGAAAAACTTGGCCAAATTACAGGGAGGTTTGTTACCCTTCTTCATGCATTTTCCCTAAAGGGATCAGCTGCAAAATGCTTCACAGGCCCCAGGTGCCGGACAGGGCCTTGTGGAGAGAATTGAACATGCTCGGGTGGGGACGAAGATTACCTTTTCATCAAGAAAAGTGCTGAGAACTTGATCAGACGAAGTCATGTTTTTCCCGCCATGCTTGAAACATGTATGTGACTTGATAAAAGTGTAACTGAATCTCTAAGGATGATTATGTGGCTTAATTGCAAAAATAAGTTTCCTCAAATTTGAGAAGCAAACGAGCACGTGTATAGTTTATCCGTGTTGTTTCAGTTGTATAATTCATTGATGTAGAGAAACGTACGAGTGAGAAGAATAAATGAGAATTCAATTTCAAAATAAGATAAAACTAATTAATTTGTTATTTGTGCACTCTATGCCTTCATTCCAATTTTATGTCGTATACAGTCGAATTCTTCACGTTATTCTTTAGCAACAGATGAAAACACAAAAATCAATTAGCCCTGAACAATCTAAATTGAATCCAAAAACAATAAAACATTATCCGTGAACAACTACAAATACGGTCTTCTCAAAACAACCTAAATGGTTTAACCCGCTACAACCAGACTTCGGATCCCTAACCACTGGCACTCCATACACAAGAACACATTTCTTGCCATGAAAAAACAGTTACAGGTAGGAAATACTTATCAAAGAAAGACTGGTAAATTAATGAAAGTTATACATCAAACTGATGCTCGGTTTCCCCTCGTTTAGGGAATGGACAGATGCCAGTGGCCGGTTCAGTTACTGATGTTTAGAAGCTCTACTGGACCCCACTCCACCTAGCCCAATCCACAAATTGCATCCCGCCATAAATGTTGTTGGCAAAACGTACACCCACTGTGAAAGCCATAGCCAAAGGCGGCATTTTCTTAGCCAAAGGTGAAGCTTCTACAAAGCGTTCAAGCCCGTTTATAATTTGGTAACGGGTATTTGATGATACTGCAAGAAAGACGCCTGAAAGATAGATATGAAAACTTTAAATCAGCAATTTCAACTAAGTAGCAAGCTCCAAAGTAAGATCGCTCATTTTGTAACAGCTCGACAAACATATGCAAGCTGATAAAAGAAGGAAATACAAGGCAAAATCTTGTGCCAACTATACATTATAGGTGCAACGTTTTATGAGACACTTCTTTATTAAATTTCCGAAAGCAAGAAGTTCAGTTCAACGTGAATTGCAGTTGAATATATGCTAACTCAGGCACAGATGATTGGCAGGAGACTAATATTCAGATCTTTTATATCTTTCTTTTTTGTCCCTGATTGAAGAAAAACAAGAACTCAGATTATTTAGTTCTCAAATTGACATACCCCAGAGGGCAGCACTTTGAACTAAGGGCGGCACTGGTACATCCTCCTCAGACTTCTTGAAACTCCTGTCATGTTGATAGGGATTAGTTACTAAACATCTCATAAATGAAAGAAACACGAACTAGATAACAAAAGACATCAACATAAATGGCCAAAAAGCACGTTGCAAAATCAGCTTTGATTGCTCACGCTACAAAGTTTACATAAACATCTCACATGCTGTTGTGTTTCGATATTTTTTGTTATTTTCTTTTTGTAAATTTTCTGTAACAATTTCTAATAAGAATGGAGGAAGAAGATGAATTGGGTAGAGAGAGAGAGAGTTGAGAGAAGAGAGAGAAAGTGGAAGATAAAATTGTTGTAACTAATTGATTCCCTCATACATTTTTCCAGCCACTTATAAACAAGTGGTCCCACAATATTTTGTTTCCTATTTTTTCAACAACAAGTAAAATATGACTTAATAAAATGAACAATTGAAAAGTGCTAATTTGGCAAATGCATCACGCGCCCACATGCATTTCTGTTGAGGTTGCCACGTGTCCGTGCTCCTTCATTTCACAGGTCAAAGTCTCCCTTTTGTCTTCATTTTCGAACTCCCGTTTTTCCCCAAATCCATTTGCTTCAAGAACCCTAATTTCCTTTAACACATTCTCCCCTTCAATTTCACTCTGGTCCACAACATTTCCCCCCGGATCAAGAGATCCTTGTCCGCAAGGATCAAAAGTTGGAAACTTGCGACGGATAAAGCTCAAGTCTTCCCAAGAAGACGAGTTCCAGCCAGAACTAGCCCATTGCACTAAGATTTGCTGCGCAGTTTGGTGGCCCCGTCGGACTTCACGGCGATCCAGAACAGACTGCGGTTCGATTTTGAAGTTGCCGTCTCCATCGACGGACGGTAGTTCGCTTTCAGGTAACCCGTTAATCCCAATGTGTTTCTTTAACAACGAGACGTGAAATACTGGATGGATCTTAGAACCTTCAGGTAGTTCCAATCGATAAGCCACTGCTCCCACCTTTTCTAGGATACGATAAGGCCCATAGAACTTAGCAGAAAGTTTGAGATTTTTTCGCAGAGAGACCGAGTTTTGTCTATAGGGTTGCAATTTGAGAAAGACTAGGTCCCCTACCTCAAAGACCCTTTCTTGCCTGTGTTTGTCTGCGTATTGCTTCATTCTGGATTGGGCCTTGGTAAGATTATTCCTGATTTCTTGAAGCAATTGATACCTCTCCTGCATAAATTCCTTCACTTCGAAGTTTTCAGCCCCTAGATATTGATCTAGGGTTAAGTTAGGAGGCTGATAACCGTAAAGAGCCTTAAATGGTGTCATTTTAAGGCTACTCTGGTAGTTGGTGTTATACCAGTATTCTGCAAGTGATAGCCATTTTGTCCACGCTTAGGGTGACTGTGGGTCATGCACCTGAGGCAACTTTCTAAGCATTGGTTGACTCTTTCTGTTTGGCCATCTGTTTGAGGGTGGTAGGAAGAGCTCATGGCCAGTGTAGTTCCCATAAGCCTGAATAACTCCTTCCAGAAAGTGCTAGTAAAAACTTTGTCTCTATCTGATATTAAATTGACTGGTTGCCCATGTAGCTTATATATAGAGTCCATGAATACTTGAGCCACAGTTTGAGCAGTGAATGGATGAGACAAAGCCAAGAAATGGGCATACTTAGTCAACCTGTCCAAACTACTAGAATCACTGTCTTACCCCCTGAATCTGGAAGCCCCTCTATGAAGTCCATAGAAATATGACTCCAAGCTTGTTCTGGAATTGGCAAGGGTTGTAGTAGGCCAGGATAGGCTCCTGAGTCAGACTTGCTTCTGGCACACACCTCACATTCCTTCACCCATTTAATCACATCTTGCTTCATTTTAGGCCAATAGAAAGTCCTGTAAAGCCTAGCATAGGTACCATGGATTCCTGAATGACCACCATAGGAAGTATTATGAACCTCACTTATAATGTGGTTCCTTAGTGCTGAGTCATGCCCCACCAAAACCTTGCCCTTGCATCTGATGACCCCATTAGTAACAGTGAAGGTAGGATATGAGTTTGGGTCCAAAGGCTTAGCTGTGAGGATTTTTGTAGCAAATTCATCTCCCTCATAACTGCTGATTATTTGTTGCACCCACTTAGGAATGACTATGGTTATGGCATCTAGAGTTGTGCTTTCACCTGTCCTTCTTGATAAAGCATCTGCAGCTTTATTTTCAGAACCACTCATGTATTGGATATCATAGTCCATGCCAAGCAATTTAACCATCCATTTCTGTTGCATAGCAGTGCTAACCTTTTGGGTGAGGAGATACTTCAGAGACTGTTGGTCAGTTTTGATGATAAACTTCCTTCCCTGTAAGTAGTGCTTCCATTTCTGAACTGCCATGACTACAGCCAGAAATTCTCTTTCATAAATAGAGAGTGATTGATTCCTGAGGCATAATACCTTACTCATGTAAGCCAAAGGCCTTCCCTCCTGCATTAAAACTGCACCAATTCCCTTTCCACTAGCATCAATTTCTAGTGTGAATGGTTTAGAGAATTCAGGTAGTGCTAAAACAGGTGCTGAGGTCATTGCTTCCTTCAGTTTATTGAAGGAATCCTCTGCTTCCTTGCCCCAGTGAAACCCATCTTTTTTGAGTAAATCAGTTAAGGGTCTACTGATCAGCCCATAACTTTTTATGAACTTCCTGTAATATCCTGTCAACCCCAAGAACCCCCTTAGTTGTTTGAGTGTGGTGGGAATGGGCCACTTAAGCATGCAACTAACTTTCTCTGGATCAGTTGCTACTCCTTCCTTGGAAATTATGTGTCCCAGATATTCCACTTCAATCTGGCCAAATTGGCATTTGCTGAGCTTGGCATAAAGTTTGTGTTGCCTGAGTAAGAACAGAACCTCCTCTAAATGCTTGAGATGGTCTTCCCATGTAGGGCTGTATACTAAGATGTCATCAAAGAATACTAGTACTGATTTCCTCAAATGTTGCCTGAATACTTGATTCATCAAAGACTGGAAGGTAGCCGGCGCGTTACACAATCCAAAAGGCATCACCAAGAACTCATAGTGCCCACTATGAGTTCTGAAAGCTGTATATTGTCTGTGTTCAGGTTTAACAAGGATTTGGAAATAACCTGCCCTCAGGTCCAGCTTAGAAAAGAATTTTGCCCCATTAAGTTCATCAAGGAGCTCATCAATTATGGGAATAGGATAGCCATGTTTAACTGTAAGGTCATTCAAATACCTATAGTCTACACATAACCTCCAATTCCCATCTTTCTTCTTTACTAGTATGACTGGAGCAGCAAAAGGGCTCTTACTGTCTTGTATGATTCCAGAACCAACCATTTCCTGTATGATTTTTTCAATTTCCTCCTTGTGTTGGTGTGATGTTCTGTAAGGGAACTGTTGTTTGGGAGAACTACCTGGTTTGAGAATGATTTGATGTTCAATTCCCCTCTCAGGAGGTAGTCCTTGTGGTTCTGCAAATATGTCATGATAAGAGTCAAGTAATTCAGTTAACCTTGTTGTTGTTTGTTTTGGCTGGGACTTTTGGGTGGCATTGGTAATGAGGTAGATAGCCTCCACTTGTAAGTCCATGGAATAGTGAGTGAGTTTGTAAAGAGATGGTCCAGAAATAAACCTGCAATCAGCAGTTGAAGTTAGGGCTTGTATTTTGACCTTCTTTCCCTTGACCCTTACTGTAAAAGTCATCTTATCATAATCAAGTTCCACTGGTGTGCAAGACTTAAGCCAGTCCCCTCCCAAAATTAAATCACAGCCCTCAGTTGCCAAAATTCTAGGGCAATAAATGAATTCCTGCTCCTGCATTGTCCACCTGAAATTAGCCACCTTATTTGAACTGACCATCCTTTGGCATTGGCCATTTGCTACCTTCACCAAAATTGGTTTAGCCCCCTCCACACTGCACCCCAATCTCCTTGCAGTCTCTTCTTGAATGAAACTCAAGGTGCTACCAGTGTCAATTAAGATGTGCAACCTTTCCGGACCACAAAATCCCTGCACCCTCATAGTGGTTATTCCATCTTCCCCACTGATAGAATTAAGAGTCATGAATGCTTCCTCAAGAGGTCCCCTTCCCACTCAAGTTCCTCCTTGCATTCATTAATACTGTGCAACTCTTCTTCTTCAGTCATCATTAAGTAAAAGTAATCCTATTCTTGCACCTGTGGCCATATGTGTAAGCTTCATCACAGTTATAACAAAGCCCCTTCTCCCTTCTGGCCTTCATTTCTGCTGCAGTTAACATCTTGACTGGGGGTCTGTGGTTGGCTGGTTTTGAGTTGACTGGTTGATTCAAGTCCAGTCTCTTAGCTGCTTGTGGAAAGATGGTGGGGGGCCTGTTTTGGGTTCTGAGTTTTTTGGTTATGGCTTCAAGGGTGTGTAGTTGCTTCCTTCCTAGCTCAATGGTTTGCTGCAGAGTTTTTGGATCAAACATGGTAAGAAATGACTGCAGCTCTTCACTTAACCCACTGATGAAGCTACCAATAAAATACTCTTCACTGTAATCTGTTCCATTCATTAACAACATGCAAGCTCTGAGTTCTCCAAACCTTTCAACATAATCAGCATAGGAACCCACCTGTCTCAACTTATTGAATTCAGCAATAATTTTAGATTCTTTGAGCTCCTCAAATCTAGCTAAAACTACCTCAAGGAATTGTTCCCAATTTAGATTCTGTTGTTTTGATATGAAATTCTGGTACCAGATTGCAGCCCTGCCCTCTAAGTGCATAGATGCCAGATGCACCTTTTGATCTTCAGGAATGTTTGACACAAGTTTGAAGTAGCTATTACATTTTAGAATCCAAGCCCTGGGGTTATTTCCATCAAATCTGGGGAACTCGATTTTAGGCATGGGACTGTGCACATAAGATTGATGTTCCTCACCTGTTCTCTGTTGGTTTGTTGTATGAGTTCGTCTCTGTGAATTGCTTCCTTCTCGATGGTTCTTTGGGAACGGCCCGATAATGGATTCCTCGTCATTTTGTGTTTTAGTGATGTTGAGCAGCTGCAACTGAATTGCAGCTAAGGTGTTTGAGAGGTTGTCATATTTGTTGGCTATGTCTGTAAATTTATCTTGCATTTTGAGCTCTGCTGCTTCCCTTTTTAAGGTCTCCGTTTGTAAAATTTGATCCACCCTTTTCTGTGCTTCTTGCAGCTCCTTGAGTCTGGTTCCTTCCGCCATGCCGAGGATCGACTGCTCTGATACCAATTGTTATGTTTCGATATTTTTTGTTATTTTCTTTTTGTAAATTTTCTGTAACAATTTCTAATAAGAATGGAGGAAGAAGATGAATTGGGTAGAGAGAGAGAGAGTTGAGAGAAGAGA